TATATATATATATATATATATATATATATATTTATATAAAAACCTCCTGATGAACCTATATTAAGCCCCGCCTCCCCCTCAGGTGAGATTACCATCAGCTCATCTGTTGCTGTGCGCTTTGCTCTGCAGGCGACCGTGCAGGTCGGGGGTCACGGCGAGCGTCTGCACCAGTGTAAAGAGGTCACCCTCACCACCTTCAAGTCCATCCCCATGCAGGTGGACGGAGAGCCTTGCAAGCTGGCTCCATCCATCATCCGCATCAACCTGCGGAACCAGGCCAACATGGTCCAGAAGGCCAAGAGGAGGATCTCCATGCCGCATCTGAATGAGTAAGGACCCAGACTGCTGAGATGTGCTTTAGAACCTAAACCCCTTAAAACTGACAGAAATGTTTTTAATCAGGAGAAACCTGACCTCACTTATTCAGCCAGGACAATTCCCTTTAACGGCCCCCTTTAGGGGCATTGCAGGCTAACAAAAGAAACCCCGCAGTCCAAAGGGGTGGAGCTCTTCGTCTATTTCAGTTTGCATGTTTTCAAAGCAAAAACAAGGCTTTGTTGGACTATTGTATAAAAACCTCAAACTCAACACTATTCCTGACATTTTCAATTGAAAAAGTGTCTCGGATGGGAGGCGAAACGTCTTCAAACTTGGAAACCAAGTCCAGTGGATTTTTTTTAATTTTTCTTTTTTGGAATAATCAGGAGAAAATCCTCCATCCGCCAGCATTAGTTAATGAGATGTGTGAAATGATTTGCAGCTCATGGTGCATATCGATGCGTATCTACTCTGTGACCTCAGAGTATAGATCCATCTCTGAACGGGTCATGTGACCCAGAGCGCCGCTTTCTATCAGTCTGAGCTCCCCTTTAACACCAGAGCTAACTAAGCTAACAGCTGTTTGCTCTGACCATTAGCAGCATTAGCATCTTTCTGGTTCTCTGATGGAGGATTTCATTCATAGGGCAGCAGCCATGTTTCCATGGAGATAATAAGAAAAAACAGCTGATCAGACTAAAAATGTGTCGGTTGGAATATTATGATCAAATTTTGCAGATTCTGAAGAAAATTGTAATCAGACTAAGAAGAGTGGTTAATCCAGATTAACAATCTGATTGTCATGATTGTAAACTGGTCGTGATCAGGTTATTCTGAAACGCCATCGAGACGCATCAAGTGGCCAATCTATTGTATTCTATTAATCTATAATCTATTCTAAGTGGCTAATTACTCTGGCTAGCTGCTATCGGAATATTTATTTATTTAATTATTTTTTTGAGGTCTTACGGCATTAGTGGCTCTTTTTCCTGACAGGAAGGGGGGTATGAGAGAGGGGGAGAGATATGCGGCCAATGACCACAGGTCGGATTCGAGGCCGGGTTGGCCGCCATACATGGGCTGTGCGCGCTAACCACTGCGCCACCTGCACGCCCGTTATCGGAATATTCTGATCGACATGTTTCCAGGACACATTTTTGGTCCGATCGGCCATTTTATTCTGATTACTTATGTGCGTATTAAATGTCTTTTAAATCTCATTTCATTTCAGTTTGAGTGTAAGACTGTTGTTCTACACACATTTAATGTTTTTTGTCTTTAAACTCCATGACTTCTCAACATCCTGGTCCAAACGGGTCTGCCATCAGAACCAGAACCACTGGTTCATTGAGCCACAGAGCACTTGCTTGTGGCTTTCAGGGTTAGCTAAACCTGAAAGTTCAGGTCTAGCACCCCTAGTTGTTAAAATTGACAGTGTTTTGACTTAAATATTAACGTTTTTAAAACATGTGACCCGTCCTCTAATCGGAGGTGTGTTGATCATTCTGTAAAATGCCCTGTGCACCTGTTTTAGCATCAAAGCGAGGACATTTTTCACTGGTTCACTTTATGTATAGCTAACGGTTAGGATAAGGACTAAGAGGTGAATTTAGTATCAGGTTAGGGTTAGTTTTGCATTGATGGGGATAGCTTTAGGGTTATTGTCAGAATTGTTGCAGAGGAAGGGTTAAAACCTACTGAAAATTGAGAATCCACACATGGTCCTCACTACATATAGCAAGATGAGAGTGTGTGTGTAGTGGACGGGCCAAATGAAGCCTGCTTGTCTCCATCAGCATCGTGTTCTTGAAACGTTTTGTGTGTGTGTGTGTCCTCTGTAGGTTAGTGTGTAAATGTCAGTGTGTGTGTGTTTGTGCGCAGCCAGCAGCCAGTTCCTGAGAAGCTACAGATCAGGGTGAACCGGATCAGCATGGCGGCGTACGAGGCTCTGCACTACGACAAGGACCTGCTGAAGGAGGCCTGTGAGTTTTATATCCCATCAGGCCAGCGTTCATCATTAAAGGAAAATATTTTCACTCCAAATTCAATCATTTTCCTCTAGTTAATCGGCTCTGGATTTTTCTTCTATCCCCTGTAAAACCAGTAGAATCATATCAGTGAGAAATTTCACCAGGATTGCATCAGAAATCCAGGTGTTTGGAACAAACATCAGATCTAAATGTGCTGAAGATAAATTTGATAATTGTTTGTGCAGCGACGCCTCTGGGAGTCATCGTCGTCCCCGGAGACAGCGACCTGGAGATGTGCCGGCTGCACATCGAGCGTATCCAGGACAACCAGGACCAGGAAGTAGAGCAGGTGCGGCCCGGACTCACAGCAGCTCGTTATCCTGGAAAGGGGTCTGAAAGAACCCGTTTTTACGCTCCTCCTCTGTGTGCTCCTGCAGGATGGAGACGAGATGAAAGGAGAGAGCCTGTCCTCCCAGAAGCTCTCCATGAACTGGTGTTTCTTGGACTGTAAGCCTTCACACAGCATGTCTGCTCAGATCAGAGACCCTGAAAGTTTCTGACTGGGTTCTGGTCTCTGTTTTTTAGGTACCACTGCAGATCGTTTCTACCGGATCGACCGAGCTCAGGTATGAAGTCAGATATAAGGTTCCTGCTCCTCCTTAGCAGACATGAAGCAGATCCTGCATCCCGAACCTGCCACAGGGTTTTCTCTAGGATTTTCTTTAACCATGGTGGTGGACTAAAAAAAATCTAATAATTAACTGTCATTCAACATTAAAATGTTGAAGTCCATGAGACTGAAAATGCATGAGGAGCTGAATAAGGCAGCCAAGCTGAGTGGTAATTAGGTAATTAGTGCAAGTTTTAGAGAAAAAAAACAACAAGATACTGGATTAAAACTTATATTTATATCCTGCTTTGTAATCCATGCATTAACATTAGCAGCGTTGTGCGTCTCTGGCGGCTGCCTTTGAGTCAGCGCTGAGGGAAGCGGCAGAGATTCACCTGAGCTCTTGCTGCTGTTGTGAGACGGTAGAACGAGTGCTGCTTTCACATGAAGTCAATTAATCACCAAAAATCACTAGATTTGTCTCTAGTCACTTTGGATTCAATAAAAGAGTGGAAAAAAACCTAAATATAATGTTAAAAAGTCGGTAAGTTTTTTTTAAGTGCAGCATTGAAAAATAGTAAAAAAAAAATAAATAAATAATGGTAAATTTAAATATAAGGTTTGTCAGTTTTCCTTCACTACAGAGAGCAGAGCTGCCATAGACATGATATACACTCACCGGCCACTTTATTAGGTACCCCATGCTAGTAACGGGTTGGACCCCCTTTTGCCTTCAGAACTGCCTCAATTCTTGGTGGCAT